GGGCAATTTTCAGTTGACCTTGTTCCTCTGACGTCATTAGATAGCTATTTTTGGTTTCGCTGTTTATGCTGCAGAGAAGTTGGGCTGGGATCGGGGAGAGGGAGAAAGAATGAAGGAGTGGCCGGTCTTGGTTTCTCATTGTCCCAGGGCCCTACCAAAGTAGGAGCATTTATTCTTCAACATTTACATAGCACCTACTGAATGTCAGGCCCTGGGGCCACCAAGTTGTAGACATAATCTGAGAATTCTTCACTCATCCACAAATTCATTTTCCACCAGGCATTTACTTTGTGGTATGGAGCAGTAATTAAGAGTAAGGGCTCTGAGCCTGATGGCTTGGGTTTAAATTCTGGTCCCACTGGAATCCTACCTCTGAAACTTTGGGCAAGTTACTCCTCTGTGCCTCAGTTTCCTCTCAGAAATGGAAGTGATAATAATACCTATCTCATGATGTTGCTGTGAAGATTAAAGGAGTTAATATCTGTGGCACATGGTAAATGCACAATAAATATTAACAACGATTATTATTCACAACAGAAGCACCACTTTTTGTACGAGGTCCTTGGGATATAAGGTTGACCAACATAGTCCCTGTCTGTTCTGAGCCAGCACCTGATCCCCAGAGCCCCAGACACCGGGACAGTGCACAGTCGGTACAAGTCAGAAGGGAACACCTGCCACGCGCACCACTTTACCCTAACTTGTGGGGACATTCCAGGGAAACAGGTGAATTTCCTGCCCTGGGAGAGCCTCGGAGCAGTGGCTCTCAACCCTAACTGCACATCAGAATCTTCTGGGCAGTTTGGAAAAATATCAACATTCAGGGCCCCACCTCCAATGTTCTGATTTAATTGAGCTCAGGAGGGGCCCAGACATCAGGAGTTGGGAAAGCTCTCCAGGTATTTCCCCTGGACGTCAGGGCTGAGAACACAGCCCAGGTTAGACTATGTGTCCTGCAAGTACTCTGCCGGTAGTGCCTCAGAGCTGGCCCTCTGGCTCACAGCTTCTCAAACTTGGGAGTGCATGAAAACCACCTGAAATGCTGGTTAAAAAGACAGATTCCTGGGGCCCCATTTTAAACAAACTCCAGGGCTTAGGCACCAAGAAAGCCTGCCCTACCCGTGCCATCAGCTGTCATTCCTGATCCTCTGCCCCAAAGACTCTGCCTCTGAAGGCCCATGTATCTCATTATGTAGCTCTTAACATTTTCTGTGTTGAATTGTAGAAATAACGTGTCCATATTGATATGTTTTTTAAAACATTTTTATTGAGTTATAGTGATTTTACAATGTGTCAAATTCCAGTGTACAGCACAATTTTTTAGTTATACATGGACATACATATATTCAGTGTCACATTTTTTTTCACTGTGAGCTACCACAAGATCTTGTATATATTTCCCTGTGCCATACAGTATAATCTTGCTTATGTATTCTGCATATGCCTGTCAGTATCTACAAATTTTGAACTCCCAGTCTCTCTTCCCACGTGCCTCCCCCTTGGCAACCACAAGTTTGTATCATGTTGATATGTTTTGAATTAATAATCTTCTAAGAGTTACAAATGGAATTTATTAATCTTCTAAGAGTTTACAAATGAAATTTGCAAATCAGAAATATTTGCAAAATCCAAATAAAAATCATCTCTACTCCTACTCCTGTGTATGTGTGTGTGTGTGTGTGTGTGTACACACACA